TTTTTCTTTTTTGGTTGTATCTTTACCTGGCTTTGGTATTAGAGTGATGCTGAAAAAATAGAAAGAATTTGGAAGTTCTCCCTCCATTACTATATTTCTGAATAAACAGAATTCTACCAGATATTTAAAGAAGATCTACATCCAATACTACTTAATTGATACAAAAGGACAGAAGTGGAGGGAGAACATCTAATTTCCTTCTATGAAGCCAGCATCACTCTAATACCAAAGCCAGGTAAAGATACAACCAAAAAAGTAAACTATAAATCCATATCCTTAATGAACAAAGATGCAAAAATTCTCATCAAAATACTTGCAAACAACATACAGACACACATCAAAAAGATCATCCACCATTGTCAAGTCAGCTTTATTCCAGAGATGCAGGGATGGTTACAGAAGGCCTTTGAAGAAAGTTAACATGCATTTATGTTCAAAGTCCTAGAGGGAATTGGACTGGAGTGAACATACCTCAAAATAATTAAAGCCATATATAACAAACCCACAGCCAATATCATTCTAAATGGAGAAAAACTGGAAGCATTCCCATTGAAATTGGGAACCAGACAAGGCTGTCCACTATCTCCACTTCTCTTTAACATAATGTTTGAATTCTTGCAAGAGCAGTAAGACAAGAGAAGGAAATTAAATGAGTAATACTTGGAAAAGAAAAGATCAAATTATCCCCTTTTGCAGACGATATGAAATTTCAGTAATGTGGCAGGATCCAAAATTAATCTATGAAAGTCTGTAGGCTTTCTATATGCCTATGAGAAGGAATCAGAGAAACAGTACATGGAAACACTCCTTTTCACAATAGCCTCAATAATAATAATAATAATAATAATAATAATAATAATAAATATCTTAAAATGAACCTGACTAAAGACCTTAAACCTCTACAATGAAAATTTTTAATCTTTAAAGAAAGAGATTGAGGAAGGCATCAGAAGATGGAAGGACCTCCCATTTTCATGGATTGGAAGAATTAATATTGTTAAAATGGCCATCCTATCAAAAGGAATATATAGATTCAATGCAATTCCAATCCAAATCCCCATGACATACTTCACAAAATTAGGACAAACCATCCTTAAATTCATATGG